TGATAATATTCTAGAAAGGCTTACAGAAATAAGGCACAAAAAGGGAGTTGGGGAGCATTTGGGGAACATCTGTAACGGTCCCCGTTACAATTAACACTAGTTAATACCAAGTTTAGAACTGTTCTTTGGATAGTATACTAAATATAGTAAATCAGAAAAGATATGCATTCATGAGATAACGCACTAAAAGTCTAATTTCAAGGAAATACGCTCTCAAATTTTCAAATCCAAAGAAACAGGCACTGTCAATCGAAGTCGACTCACAATTGAAATGTATTTCACAGTTTAAATATGCCAGTTTTTACTTAACCAAACTAAGTCAGCGATAGCACCCCAGAATATCTCGTATTTTACACTATAATTGCTTATGCTTAGAAGTTAAAGCAATACCTTTTGTCCTTAATTCTATTTTGTTAGAATTTTTATACATGTACATGAAATATAATTTAAAAAATTGACTTTTAGTATTAAGACTCGGATGCATTAAATATTGATAATTTATCAAATATATTTTCCTTCATTTTGGCAGAAATTTGTCATTTTATGTGGCAAATGTGGATATTTTATAAGTTCGAATTATTTTGCAAGCAGTACATACACAACACAAGAGTACGTCAAATAAACAAAACTGAAAACTTGACTTTAATTATAATTTTCTTTTAAAAGAGGCTTTTTATCGTACATATTCCATGTCAAAAGAAGCACTCTCTGAAAACAGTGAGTGGTATGACGGATTATTTTGATGATAACTCTTCCATGCCGGGTTCTGGATTCTGTCCCTAGGATAAAGAGGTCGATTTGATCGCTTGTTATTCCTGCGTGTAATCAATACGTAAATAGTAATTATCCTCCTGGGTTATACATCTGAAGGTTTTTTTCTGTAAATGTTGAGTCTATATTAGTTTAAGGACTAATCAAACGGTCTGCGTTACGCTGAAGGTCTTATCAAAATGAATAGACCTGATTTAGGGAGGCCAATTATGGTGCATTTTAGGTCATAGTGATAGAAAGATGGTCTATCCTCCTACATATATTCATAAACCTTAGCGGACCTTCCTATGTGTATTCGTGAAAAGCGGGCACCATGGACCTAAAATTAGGACAGGCTGTGTAAATAACAACCCATAGTCTTCCTGGATAATTTTCTTCCAGTATTATCACAATTTAATGTCTATTAAAATATTTTTTTTTGTGATTTTGAATAAGAAATTATTTTAGCAACCATTCCCCGCCACCTTTCCTTCTGTAAACATCTCGCTATATAAAGTTCATTTGAAAAATATTCATTTAGAACATACAAATGTATACATGCTTATACATGCAAATGGAAATTCATCGGTTGTGGTGAAATACTCATTTAGAACATATACATGCTTATACATACAAATGGAAATTCATCTGTTGTGGTAATCACCAGTTTTCATTGTATTTTCAACGTTAATTTTAGAGATATTATTGGTAGGAAATCTATTTGGAGTTATGTACCTCTGGGTCACCAAACATATGGTGACAATATGTAGCCACTGGGCCCGTATCCCTCAACTGCACGTTGAATAAGACAACGTGCACGTTGAATAAGACAATGATATACAGTTTGTTTTTAATTTAGTTTGTGCAAGAGATATATCCATAAAAACAAAGTTGTAATAATGGTATTCTGTAGTGCGTCTGACCCTTAATCATTCAAGAAACAGTCGTGAAAACTTCCAACATTTGTTTCAATATTTTTTTGAATAAAACAACTCAAAGCATAATCGCGAAAGTCATTCTAAATCTTTACCTTTACCTATTTTCGGCCATACATGTAATTAGGTTTCTATTCCTTTTTAGCCGGGCTTATTGCTCAAAGAGCAATTGCCGGCTTATGTGATCCTGTTCAAGACAGGATGTTAACCCCATAGTCGCCATTTTAAAGTTACGTGTAAAAATATAGTTCTTACTCTCAACCGCTTTTGAGATAATACAAACGCTAAATAAAGCAACAAAAATAAAACGAAGTTTTATCTAAATAAATAAACATATTTAGTATATTTGAAAACTTCAGTCTTTAGTCAAAGAACATAGTTCATTGGTGTAAGGAGTTTTGATAATCAGTGTTACATGTGTCTTAGTTCTCTACACATACGAAGAAAAGCAGGAGAGGGAACCAGACTGGCCTGTTTGTTTATTTTCAGTTGCGGTACCAGATTAATTCTGATGTGGTATTAGAATAGAAACTCACTGTCAGTGTCTTATCATTTATATTGATAGATTTAAAATGATTTTTTCCATCAGATTTTTAAATCTGATATTCTTTTTTTAAATCTGTTAATACAATATTAACGTATGATTCATGTAAGAAATTCATAATAATTCTACTTTGTAAATGAGCCCGGCTCTCTGTACTTCTGAGTACTTTGATTTTATTTATAAAGAAAACTATCAAACAATAATCTAGTTTTAAATTTTCACTCTGAAGTTTCGAATGTGTTTGTGTGTGTATTTTAGAAAATAATTCCTTGACAAATTTTGCTCTTTGTAGAGCAGGAACTTAAAAAGATCAGAGTTATAGGACTTTTCTGAATAAATCTTCTGAAAGAGGCCAGCATTGAGAAAAGAAATGACATCCGTCCTTTATTTGGCTTTACTGTAGGAGAAAAATAAAAGCATGCTGTCTCTTAGCTACCATCATAAATTGTGGTATTTTTTAAACAAGTCCATATAAATCAGCTTTCTTTTAGTCACTGCAATAACTAGTGAGATTGGAAGCCACTCGAACGAGGTTGATCTTTGTCTAGAAATGATGCAAAACTTCAGTGCTTTCTACAAGAAAGATACAGTGGTTATCTCGCGTGTATTCCAAAGTCAAATCGCCTCCGGATTTTCTTAAATGTTTTGTCCTAATTAAGTCATCATGATTTAAACTATCATTTACGTGCACAGAAAGAAGGGAATACAAGTAAATGGACACGTTCTCACAGGTGTATGTGATTAATGTTTCCTATTTACTTTACACTCAAAAACAATATACAGCATGCGTGTTTAAATGTATTTAATTGTTCAAATAAATCTTCGACGACTGCCCAAACAAATAAGTACATGTAACATTCTTAAATTTGCATACATCTATCAAGTGCACATTCTTAAATAAAAAAAAAAAGAAGAGCAATTAAGGTATTTCCATCCTCCTGTGATGACATAGGTTTATGCAAAATCTTTAATTTATTGAAATTTATACCCCCAAAAATGTATCTTTTAGAAGAATGCTTTTCAATCGTTAAATTAAAATTGTTGTTCAGAAAAAGAATTTTAAAAATTGAATATTTTTTTTATGTAATCAATTATGGGTACCTGTAAAGTGCGAAACGAAATAGAAACGAAACGAAACGAACTGAAACGAAACGAAATCTGCCGAAACGAAACGAAACCTACCGAAACGAAACGAAATCAAGACGAAACGAAACGAAATCAAAACGAAACCTGCCGAAACGAAACAAAACTTTCAGAATGTTTTTTAAATCAAGCTATATACATTTACATATAGTTATATATAATGTGTAACTGCATATCGTCTGTTTTTACTTCATATGAAATTTATATAGTTGAAGCACCACAGGTAATTGTTTCGCTTCAAGCTCATACATAGGCGTCAGAAGGAAATTGAAGGGGGGGGGGCTTTACCAACAAAAAAGGTATGCCCTAATTTTCAATGCCTAAATAATATATATCTTTGCAAAAGAAGTTGGTGGGGGACCCCCCCCCCCCCCGCTTCCGACGCCTATGTCATATTTGGTTAATATCTTACTGAATACTGAATAATTTACCTACTTAAAATGACATCGTTCGCTTCGAGAGACTTTTTTCTGGTCAGTTAAATCGTTTTAGACCTCTCTGGTCCAGCCTTTCTAATTGCAAACCACTCATTTCTTCCTCGAAAATTACCTCGATAAAAACAGGACCGTATGTACATTGAAAGGATTGGAGTTGCATGTATAATTGAACGATAAAACCAGACACCTCGGAATGGAATACCAAATACTCTAAGTCTCTGGTTTATTTTATGTTTTAAAACATTCGCAATACAACAGTACAGTGACTTCATTTCGATCTGTACATAAACGAGCCTTTACATGTAACACATCAATTTTGATAGATATATTGTATCTAGATAAATAAGGACTGAAAATAAGAGTAAGATATAAAAATTAGAAAATACTGCACATATTGAAATTATACATGCATAGTACGCTCGTGCATATTTGCAGCTAGCAAACATGTAAATAAATCATTAGATTGAAAAGGGAACATAATTTATCGGTAATTAAATTTTATATTAACAAGTGCTTGAACTATATAAATTTTATTTGAAGTACAAAAAAGTCCACATGCAGTTACACATATATACATGAACCTTGATTTGGGGGAGAAAAAAAACATTTTGATAGTTTTGTTTCGTTTCGGCAGGTTTCGTTTTGATTTCGTTTCGTTTCGTCTTTGTTTCGTTTCGTTTCGGTAGGTTTCGTTTCGTTTCGGTAAGTTTCGTTTCGTTTCGGCAGATTTCGTTTCGTTTCAGTTCGTTTCGTTTCGTTTCGTTTCTATTTCGTTTCGCACTTTACAGGTACCCATCAATTATTCAATCTTTAAAAAAATTCAATGTTGCTACGTAATGACAGGGACTCCTTTTCACGTATCTTCATTCAGGCACTTCTAATATTAAAGATTTTCCCTGATATTCACAGTCAAAACGGGTTTATAAAGTAATAGTTATTTAAGAACTTTTAGCATCAGAATTATGCATCTGCCCCCCCCCTTTTTTTTTTACATATTCTTTATATCGAAACATATTCAAAACTAGCATAGAAACTTAAAGAGGTTGTAGATAATTTAGGTTACATGACAGAGAAAGGGGAAACGATGGTTACAGAAGCTAAATTTTTATGGAAAGGTTTTGTTTGTTTTTTTACAGTAAAGGCATATACAAGTAATTTTTTCGCATTTTTAGTTTATTTTCTTTATTCTAGAGCCACCATGGACCCTGGGGAATTCTGATAATGGTATGTATTTTACTTGATCTAGAAGATGCATACACTTGTATGTCAGGTATGGGACTTAATAATGTGTCTGCCTGCTACTAACATATTTTTTCATCGGTAATGAGGTCCAATAATCAAGAAGTGAATCATTTACATATCAAGGAATCAAAGAAAACATTTACATACCTTGTCATTAGTCTTTGTAAATTTTTCTTTGCTAAAAACATATTTGTACACTCAAATACCGGTACACTGAAGTTGATACAGTATTAAAACATGTTCAAGTTTCTAATTTACAATATCTATGTAGTTTAATTGTTGGAGACTAGATCTTCCAACAATCTGTGGAAATTCCCATGGGTACCGATTGCACTCAATTGTTATCAGGTCTATTTTGTGGATTTCAAATGAAGCAGAATTTAATTTAAAAAAAACTTCTACATAAGAAGAGGATAACACTTGCTGTGGCCTTCACCTCGACGTTTAGATATAAACAACTTATGATCAACTATCGGATAATAATAGGTTCTCCCATTCACATGTCGATTTTTTATATCCCAGTATGTTAGCTTGAAATAAATAGCACAAAGTCGGACAGGTATCAAACTTGGATATTTTGTTAGAAAAAACTTAAATGGTAACCTAACAAACAAGTTTTATGATAAACGTCATGAATTCAACTTTTCAATTGCCAACTTTCCTAACTTATGCAGCAATCACCTGCATATGAGGTTAATGTGTCCCAGTTGATTCGACACGCAAGAGCATTCTCTACGTAAAAACGATTTTAAAATGTTGTAAGCTATTGATACATTTAAAAAGGGAATAAAGCAAGGATATCAACAGTCTCGTTTGAATTCAATAATGTGCAAGTTTTTTGGTCGATACCATGACTTTGTTAGAAAATACAACGCAGCATTGGGTCAAACGCTGACTGACTTTTTTCAAACTAATTGTTACACAACAAATTGTCTACCTTTTTTTTCGTTTTTCCCGATGCTATTAATTCAACAATCTCGTCTGAAATCATCATTTCACAATTTTCTTTTGGTCGATACAATGATACAGTGACCTTCTCAGAAAGTACAACCTATCGAGTTAAATGCTGACTGACTTTTTCATACAAATTGTTAGTCTAATTATCTACACAATGAATTGTGTACGGTTTTTTTTCTTTTGCGTTTTTCCAAATCATGACAAGGAGGACACGGCGGGTTTGACCGGTCGGCAGGGGATGTTCACTCCTCCATGGTACCTGATCCCACCTCTGATGTTTAACTGCGTTTGCTCTTGATTTGTATTTTAAATGAACTTTTGGGCTTGAATACTATTCGTTGTCTCTATATATTTCATTATTGTGCACCCCCATTATCTACAACGGAGACCCAAAGTTCTTAACCCCTTCCATGGCAAAGGTTTAAAGAATTTCTAAACAAATTGATATTGACATTTCGATGTATTGTTTTGAGTATTTCTTATACTATTTGTACATACCGATGTATATGTATTCTGAAAGCAGGTATTGTGTAGTTTCAGAAAATGATTATAAAATTATCATTTCAGTTGCCATGGCAATGAAATACACCATAATCATGCTGGAATTTACATTTATTCAAAAATGAGTTTCATTGTAGTTTTTTTGCTTAGTTAAATATATTAAAAAATATTTCATTGTTGTGTTGAAAATTATGAGCATGTTGTACATTTTTTTTTACAAACCAATTTTAAGTATTTTGGGGGGATGGGTTGGGGTTGGGAGGTAATCACCAGAATTTAACATTTTTACATATAACGTGTTACCTCTGGATTGATTTCGATAATGGCAAAATCGCTCAAATAGTGCGCGAAGTTTAACTCAAGCTAGCAAAAAAAGTGGTACAACCAATAAAAAAAAATTGTATATATTATTTTATCGTAATTATTTTCTCTTTCCAACGCTGTAAGATTTATTCTGATATTTGCAGTGTTTACGAAGTTATGAATTTTTCCACCCTTAAGATTTTCTCTATGACTTTTAAAACCTGCTCCAGAATTTGACAACCGCATGCAGAATGATAAATCAAAATGAAACTTTCTGCTCCTAAAAGCTTTTAATCCTAAATTAGCTCAAATGTCCGAATGAAAATAGCGCAGACATTAGGTTGCACCCAAATCAACGGTTTACGTAAGAATGGCTTAATTCCCAGTAATCCGTTATTGTCTCTCTCGCCCTGTTGATGGTAGTACAGTTAAAATCATTTGAATTGATGGTCTTTTTATTGGAAATCTGAAAGAGAACTGCAGTATTTTTTTTTTTGTAAATGCCTTGTACTAAGTGACATTTGGTTCTTGGCTTCTATTTGCAGTAAAACTAAATAGAACATTCTTGAAAATCATTTTAATTGTCAGTTTTAAGTGATTTTAATATTTCAAATAATCTTAATGAATCTGAATCACCATACCTTTATTGGATTTCTAAATATCATAAAAATACTAAAAATAATAGTAGTGGGTCCAACTATCTGATAAATGTTCTACTTTGCCTCTTTCTTTATTTCTCACTTGAATAAATATAACAGTGAAGGAGAAACTTCGGGAGTACTGAACAACAATATTTTTGAAAAGTCATATAAGGCCATTTTTTTTTTATTAGTTGTTTTTCAAGACTTTTTAAAAAAAAATAAGGTCGGTCAGTCGAAAAAAAAAAGAAAAAAGAAAAAAAGGCAGTTAAAAAGTGGTCGTACTAAACAGATTGCGATAGAGTACTTTAGAGTACACTAGTATTAAATATTTCAAAAAACTTCTACATGCAATTAAACTGCTTTTTGTATGTCATTCTACTTTAGTTTAACATAATTACATATTTTAAACAAAAGATGGATGTTCTAGCGCTCCTTAGTTTATTAGTAATTTTAATTTTTGATTTGATGTGATTTATCGTTATGATCCTGATCTAATTTAACTTGGAATGGTTCACTGTTAATGTGAAAAATATTTACGTAATGCAATTAATTTAATTTTTGATGAATAAAATTTAGTTGATTGCAACTATCATTATGGCAATTAAAATTAATTTCAAAAGTTTAATTCTCACTTGTAAAATTTAATCATATATAAATAGCAGTTATGATAGAAATTCAAAATAAAAATAAATTTAGATTTAAATTATCTTTATGTTTTCTCAGTGGGCATTGCACTTCATGACCTATATACTGCATGTGTTTACCATTAACAGAAGAATAGAGGAAATTCGGATTAGTAAAAAAACGATCATTTTTGGAAGTAAACAAGTCAAGTAGAATTTCTAAATAGATAAGAATGTGGATATTTACGAAGAATAGAAGCATACTGTATTAAAAATTTTCACATTAGATCAGAGAACAATTAATTAATCAGGACAAGCCCTCACCCCTATCGGTCACATGGACCGGTGGTACAAGATGTACAGTGAATTTCATCTAAGAAATTTCGATTTTCTATCAGTTTTGCCGGTAGGACAAATGGTTTTTGGAAACACTGTATTGATGACATGCTCCTTTCCATGGTCGTCACCATTTTTGCAGCATGTGACACATTTTTTTCCCCAAAGTTTAGCTTCGTATTTTTCGGCGGCAATTTCAAATGTAGAAAAAAAAGCCTAACAAAAATTTTATTTTTTTTTCAATTTCTCAAATTTTAAGTCGGCGATCTTGAAAAACAACTAATAAAAAAAAAAGTGGCCTAAAGTAGATATGAATACTCAAAAACTCGAAAGAACTTTTTGAATATTTAAAATCACAAAATTTTACCTAAACTCAAACGTTATGTCGAAATGCCGATGGCTACCGATTGAGCACCTATAAGCATACCTTTTTTGTATTTATATGAAACAGAATTTATTAAAAACTTTAACATAAGAAGAAGAAACTGTCTGTGGTCTTAAACGCGACATTTAGATATATTGACGACGTATTATCAAAGAAAACTTGTTACATCCATACGTCGACTTGATATATCACAGTAAATATGAAATAAAAGATACGGCGAAGTCTTACACATCTAGTTCATATTTAGATATTTTACCAGAAAAAATGGTAATGGTAAACATAATAGCTAAACTTTTATGATAAACGTTACGACTACAACTTAAATTTTCTTCGTCAACTTCACTTTTGTAGCAATATACCCCAATAATCTGCACATGGGATTTATGTCTCTCAATTAATTCCGACACATTAGAACATGCTCTTCATATGAATAATTTTTAAACCTTTGCAAGCCATTGACAAACAAGTTGATGATAAAAGAATATCAAGACTTTCCACCTATTGTCAATACAATGACCTTGTACGTTTTTAACGCTTATTGCTAGACTATATTTTACACACTGATTTTTTAACGGATTTTCCATCATGACAAGGAGTACATTCTGTTGTGACCGGTATATAGGCTTACTCCTCTGTGTGGCACCTGGTCTCACACCTTATTGTTTTTCGAGGTCTGTGTTTGCTTTGCCTCCGATGTGTATTGCTTTAATTGACTTTTGAACTTCATTACTGTTCGTTGTCTCCATATTTTAGGCAAACGACTGAGGCACATTTAATGATATGGAATGTTTAGTTACACCATTTTTTCTGTTTAATTTTAGTGTGTTTGATTATTTTGTTATTTCAGAACCATTATGGACCTCGGAGAAATCTGAGAATGGTATGTAAGCTTGCACATATAAGCAGGTGCAGGGCTTGATAATAATCATGTATCTAACAATTTTAGCATGATAAAACATCGAGGAACATTGTGTTCCACTAAAGGCAGCCAGAATACAAGCATTATGACAAAAAATTATAACAGTCTGGAATGTGCACGTGCATGTAGAAGAGCACTGTCCATGAACAAACATTTCCCAGCATTTAAAGTCTCAGTTTAACTTCATGTATTTGCATATCATTATCCAAAAATATTTTTGATATTGTTTTTTTTTTTAATCAAAATATTTTTTGTTTTGTTTCACTTTGTATCTTGTTAAACCTTTCGACAACGCATTTTCAAGTGTATATTTCTTGTATG